ACCCTTTTTTTTTATTACACACACAAAAAATATCATTAGATTTTAGAAAAATTACTAATACTCTTGAATTGGTGAGTGGATTGTGACTGGGTTTTTTTTTTTTTGGATGTGTAGAACGGTTTTCGTTTGGGAGTTTTTGACTTTTCAGTATAGAAATGGATCAATTGGGATTCTTGAAAGAGACCATGAGCTATTCTTTTTTTTTTTTATAACTCATTTGGAATGGTTCTCAACAAGTATTTACTGAAGGTCATTTTGGTTGTGATTAGCAAACTAGTTTAGAACTAGTATAAATACACCCTCCTCCTTCATAATTCACAGACCAGTTTTAGATTTAGTATTCCCAATTTATTTCCCTGCGAAGAGATTTCCTAGCCTTTCTCTTAGGGAAATCTAATCGTTCTTTCGGAAAGGAGAAATCACGTGGATACCAAAGGTCAAGGATTATCACCGCTATGTTGGAAGATCTATAAGTTCTAACTCAGATCTGTTATTATTATCATATTCGTTATTTTGTCATAATCAGGGAAGATCTGTTTGGGAAAATTTTTAAACTTCCGTTGCTGTACTTTCGAGGTACGTTACATCAATTTCCTAACATCTAAGTGGTGTGCTCAACTAACGTTAAAATATTAAATTTATCTACTAAGGAATGTCAAACGCAATATAGTGTATTCTTTACTCCACCCGAGACAAGTTGATGTACTCAATTGACCCTTTCCTCATTTCCTAACTGAGCACTGAAGTTTGCTACAAGTGAAAGTGGCCAAAAGAACAAATACATAGTATATCATTTGGGATGTTTTTACTTTGGACTTTTTTTTGTTCTAGTCTAGTCTAATACGGTCTGGTCTGGTCTGATTCGGTCTGGTTTGATATGAACTAGTCTGGTCTGGTAAATGTGTGACCTTTGTGTATTTTATAACTGTCAAAGTCTATTATGATTTGATCTCGTCTGAACTGGTCTGATCTGGGCTGGGCTTAAATAAATCCAAGTAAAAACATCCTTAACTTTCATGTTGATAATGTACTGTGAAATCAGATATAGACAATTTAGGTTTATTCTGGTATGATATTATGAAATCGGATTAAAATAATTCCGTTTCATGAACCTATGCCAAAAATAGGGGTAAGTCTTATAAGTTGGACCCTTACCAGTAATGAGGATATCGACAATCTTGAACATTATTTTTTTTATTTTTTTGGCGATATTCATAAGAATAATCCTTTTTGAAAGTGTTCACAAAATAACTCGAAATAGAAATAATGGCACCCGTATGACCATCCAACTGTTCGTTTCCAAAAAACAACACTTTTGAATTTTTCCAAAAAACTGACCCGCCCTTCGCGCATCGGAGCTTTTTCCCCAAACCCCTTTCACCGCATCAAGCAGTTCTCCTTCGCACTCCTTCGCGCCTCTCCTTCACAGAATCACAGCTCGCACAATCCATCATCTACCTCCTGCTTCGTCCGCCTACGCCGCTCTTCTTCTCCTCTTCTTCGCCGCTCTTCTTCCCCTCTTCAATTCGTCGCCGGATTTACATAGTCTCTCATTCCAAATCAGCGATGAAGGTGAAAATTGTATGGATCTGAAGCGGCTATGATTTACGGGGAATTCGAGGGGGTCACAACGAGTTTGGAGCAGGTGAGTGGGTTGGGATGGGCTAAGTGCCGGTGTGGTTCCGCCAGTGATCGGATCTGGAATTTGGGCAGGGGGTGGCGGAGGACATGGGTGATGTGGGTGGCCGTTGTAGTAGTTGACGGTAGTCACAATTGGGGGTAGGGGCTAGGGTAGGTGGGAGAGGGGGATGGGTTGGGGTTGGTGTAGAAGAGGGGATGTGATTGGCAGCAGGCGGTGGTGACAGACGGGTGGTGGACAGTGGTGGTTTTCGGCATGGACGGTGGTGGTGGAGTTGGACGGGCAGTCATTGTGAGAGTTCGGGGGCAGTCACTTTGTCTGAGGTCACTGTGGCCGGTGGGCGGGCAGTCACTTTGGTTGGGCGTCCGCTTCCACTGGTGGGTGGAGTCACTGTGGTGGCGAGCAGTCACTTGAAAAAGATGTCACATTTTAGTCTTTTATCTTTTTTAGTACTATTGGAATAAAAGGCCTTCGAAATAACAATAATATTCACAGTAATACATTGCACTGAATTTAAACTAATGTCTGTTTATTACTCTCAACCTCTATTCTCACTTTTCTCTTTTTCGCTCTTTTTGGCGGATTATTATTTTTAGGAAAAATAACTTTAAATAATACCAACTATCATTCATGAACTGATCTAAAATATTATAATAGTTAATGAAGGTAAGGACATTTTAGGTATGAAAAATGTGTTGGTGTAATTATAAGCTAATGTAACCTTGTACTTTGAGCTAAAATCATTGTGCCTCACCATCTTTAAAACCTAATAAATCTCCATTCCGTTAGGTAACTGATGTCCAAGCTTTTAATACAAGAGTTTTCCGTTAAATAAATTACTCCAACTCAACTCACACTTTTTTTCTAAGTGATTTATGAGTATGAATGTTTTTATTCCTGTAGTAGAATCATCAACACTACTTTATATATATATATATATATATATATATATATATATATATATATATATATATATATATATATATATATATATATATATATATATATATATATATATATATATATATATATATAAATTTAGAGTTCATTTAGTAACACTTAAATTTGCTACATAGTTATTGAAAATTAAGAAATGCTTGCTAAAGTGGTTGAATTTTCCAAATTATATAGAAATGACTAAAATGGTCCTCTACCATAAGTTCTACCAATTTAGTCAGAAAAGTTACTACACTTATTTTGGTTATTGCATAATTCAATGCGATAAATCAAAAGTTACGTTTTTGATAAAAATATTGACTCATAAGGTTGATAAGCTGAAAAACAAATAAAGGAGATGGACTCTTCTACAAGCATGCATGAGAAGGCCGGGTATACTTCTTAGGATGTTTTTACTTGGACTGTAATTTGCTGGTCTGGTCTGGTCTGGTCTGATCTGATCTGGTCTGGTTTCTTTGTATTTTTATAACTATCCAAGTCTGGTCTGGTCTGGTCTGAACTGATCTGGTCTGATCTGGTCTGATCTGGTCTGGTTGAACAGTCCAAGTAAAAACATCCTAACTTTCTATCTTTTCCCACTACATTTATAATGTTTAGTTAAAAAATAACAAAACATTAGAATATCTTATATATTACGGAGTATAATGTTTTGTTAAAAAATAACTAATGTTATGTTAAAAAATAATCGCTTCTCATCTTAGAATGTCCTGATTGTGTTCCTAAGCACGAGTGCTTTAACGATATCAACTATCTTGAATGAACCATTAATAATACATATATTGAAAACGATTTCTAATAATATCAACTATTTGAATAAAAACCCAAAATAATTTGAAGAAACTTTTAGACAAGAAATTCAATCATTTAAAACATTAAACACTTATATCAAACCATCAAAAAATTGACAGTTGGCAATATGGTCACTTATTTAATATTTTGACACTACTTTTTGATGAATTAAATGATTGAATTTTTAGTTAAGACTTGATCTATGTCACATTGTAATATATTCGCATAGTTGATATTATTAACAGTTATTTTCAATGTACGTATTATTTTTAGGAAAATTTGAAAATAATAATCCCAACTATTGGCGGTCCGCTAACAATAATCCCAACTATTGATTATTTTTGTATAATTCCAACTACATAGACTGTCCGCCAATAATGGTCCATGACCAAATATTAACTCTTATAAAAAGTGAATTTGAAATAGAAATTAAGCGTAAAAATTATAAGTTGGATTATTTATAGGAATTACTTGATATATCTTTTCTCATCCACTTTAGAAACTACGAGAATTTATTCATAGGGACCATTATTGGCGGAAGGTCCCCAAAGTTGGGATTATTCTGAAATAATCAATAGTTGGGATTATTACGGGCGGACTGCCAATAGTTGAGATTATTACTATCAATTTTTCCTTATTTTTATTGTGTCACTCATTCGTATCTCGTATATTACCATGCGAATGTATTATATTAGATCGAATATGAGCCAACAATATTTAATTATTTAGATATATACTAGATATTTATTACAGTGGTAGTGATACTTTTTTCTAATGAAATGAGGAAAATGGATGCTAGCCTGTATGTACATTTACATTTTTATCTTTGGGCCCTCTTTCATGATGATGAAATAATAAATACTCAATTTTTAAGTTGATACGTTAATGTGTTAAATACTAAAAGTTGTCATATCGAATCCACATTTAATGTACATATTTTCAAAAGAAAATGATTGGCATTTTATTCAATTGCGCAACAAGCATGTAGAAAACTAGTAATAATACAAACTTCGAAAATGACTTTTAATAATACCAACTATTTGAATGTAAAACAAAAATAATATGGAGTCATTTTTGACAAAAAATCCGATCATTTAAGACATCAAAAGCTCGTGACAACCAATCAAATAAATGATATTTGAAAATATATTCACTAATTAAATATTTTGATACAACTTTTTGATGAGTTAAATGATTGATTTTTAGTAAAAAAATGCTCTATATCACTTTTGTTCTACATTTAAATAGTTGATATTATTAAAATTTACTCCCTCCGTCTCGGTCATTTCTTCCAATTTTCCTTTTTGGGCCGTCCCAATTAATTTTTCCAACTTCCACTTTTGGAAAAAATTTATGGTTCACATTCATTCACTTTTTTCTTACACAACTACAACCATACATTTTCACTTTATTCCCACTACCTAAATTTGCGATACCGGTCAAAATTGGAAGAAATGACCGGGACGGAGGGAGTATTTTCAATGTACATATTATTCTTGCTTGATGAAAATAGTTTTTATTATTCAAAGTTGTTTTCCCCTATTTTTATAAAGAGTTTCGGTAGAGATTACTATAAAATGAGTTTTCACTTTTCCGCATATGCTCTGTCGATAAGAGTTGTGGTTCCCCGTACCACAGGGACTACCTTCTCAAACGTAGACACGCCCACAACCGATTCTGATCTTCTTCTTCGAACAGACTAGCTATTCCCCACGGTGTTCGGCGGGCGGGGAACTTGGATTTGTGAGGTCGTGTATGGAGGAATGATGGAAACTCTGCACAGGAGGATAGAGACATGGATCAAAGATCAGAGTGCAAGGATAATGAGCCTCACTCGGCCGCCCCTGCAGTGGCCAATGGCGGTGAAGTGGCCTTGGGGAGATGGCAAAGAGCAGAGGAAGAGAGTTCAGGAGGAGTTTGAACGGAGAAAGAAGCAACTCAAGGATCTCTGCTTCGCCGTTAAGGCTGAATCTGTCTCCGATTTGCAGGATATCCTTTGCTGCATGGTGCTGTCTGAGTGTGTTTACAAGGTTATTTCTTCAAAAGATTCAAATTTTATGCAGGGTTATCGCAAATTGAAATGCGTTCCCTTACCATTTGATCTTGAGTAGTCAGATAGTGGATTATTGCTTGTTATTACCTGTGATCATTCATCAACCTTCTAGACCATAATTTTTAGTGCTCCCAAAGTCCCAATGCATCTAATTTTGATAATTGCATTGCCGTCGGTTCTTATATCTATTTTAAAGTTTACTCGGCCGTGTTTTCAGGAACAAAATTAACCAGAGCTTAATTGTGATAAATTTCTCTAGTAATATTCAGATCAGTCAGTAGAGGAAAGACCTTAAATAATTTTGTATTTGACCATACCTAAAATCATTGCATCTGAATATATGTAATAACAATGTCTTCAGAAAAATGCAACGGAAATTATACGAGTGGTGAACAACTTTATGGCTGACTTTGGAGGAAACGTTTCTATAGAACGTGTTCAACCCTCTTCTGATCATGTTCCACACAGGTACATTGATATGTGAACAACTTTATTGACCTAATTTTGAAGGTTTCGTTTTATGCTTCACTATATGCATCTATTAACACTTTATAGAGCATCACCTTACAATAGGGTCATAAGCATATTTTATTTTACTTTCTAGGTATTTGCTAGCTGAAGCAGGTAACACCTTATTTGCTTCATTTGTTGGGACCAAGCAATACAAGTCAGTGGTATTTTATATCAAGTCTTTAAATGTTTTTTACTCCGATGTTAAATGTTCTTCGTTTCATATCTTTCTCCTTTTCTATTCATAAAGGGATGTCATGGCTGATGTGAATATATTTCAAGGTGCCATATTTCATGAAGATCCCACAAGAGACTTAAACGAGAATGAATCCACAGAAGTGGACAGTCAGAAGAACTGTGTTGAAAATTTCTCAAAATCTATGGACTTGATGCCTAAACCAACAAAACCTATGCCAAAACCCGCAGTTCACAAGGTATTATAGATTTCATTTTTCATGTTACTATAGTTGATCTCATGTATGTTCTTGATGCCTTATTTCTGCCATAAAACATGTTTGCTTACTGTCAACCGCCTTTTGTTAGAAAGTAATTTCATTTTGTGTGTGATATGCATATTTGTTCCTGTTTCCCTCATTATAGGGATTCTTGGCTCGCGCTAAAGGAATACCTGCATTGGAGCTGTACAGGCTTGCCCAGAAAAAGAAGCGGAAACTTGTGTTGTGTGGTCATTCACTTGGTGGAGCTGTAAGTTTGTTTTGCCTGCTACATTGCTACACATACTCACTCACTCACACACATATATGTATGTGTGTGTAATGTATAATATAATACTCCGTAATTAAAGTGCTCACTTTTACAGTTTTACGTGTCATTCATGCCTTGTATGGCACTGATGGCAATTATTTGGCTTTATTTTTCAGGTCGCAGTCTTAGCTACTCTTGCCATTTTAAGGGTTGTTGCTGCTTCATCAAGAGAACATGAAAAGGTTCAGGTGAAATGTGTCACTTTCTCCCAGCCACCAGTTGGAAATGCTGCTTTAAAAGAGTATGCTACGTTTTACATCTTTTGTATTAGAGTAATTTTTACTTCCTCCGGTCCGTATTATGAGGCATGAGTGCATGATTTTGGTTTACACATAGACCATGGAAAAGACTAAAAGCATCTAAAATAATCTTGACTGTCCTAATATGCCTTTGAGCATTACTGTGGGGAATACATTATTGTGAAAGAAAAGTTTAAATCTGCATTAGTAATACAAATGTGACTTATAGTAGGATCACTCTAACATTATAAACAACTACACAGGCCGGAGGGAGTAGTTGTGTAGCTTGATGACTCTTTATATTGGTTATTCTTCTTCAGCTATGTGAATAGCAAAGGGTGGCAGAACTACTTTAAAACCTATTGTATTCCAGAAGATTTGGTGCCTCGTATACTGTCTCCTGCATATTTTCACCACTATAGTACCCAGTCGCTACCAACACATTCTGATGCTAGTGGCTCGCTATCCATATCAAAACCAAAAGGGGTTGATAAGAAGAATGGTGAAAGAGGAAAAGAAAAGGATGGGGAGCAGCTAGTTCTCGGTGTAGGTCCTGTTCAGAACCCATTTTGGAGACTATCTAGGCTTGTGCCTTTGGAGGGTGTGAGAAGTCAGCTCTATAAGTACAGAGGGAAGAAGGATGAACCTCTTGAATCATCTGCTAACAGTGCTTCAGCATTACCATCATCTCTTAATGATATATCGACCCCACAGTCTCTTGAAATCCAGGAAGGCTCTGACGGAATCACTCTTCAACCATTGCCTCAGGCAAATGGAGATATTTCTGGTGAAGTGAAGAATGAAAAATCTTCTGCCAGTAATGGGGAGAAGAGAGCACGAAGAATAATTCCTTCATTACCTTCATATGTACCGTTCGGTCAGGTTGATATATTCCCTTGCATCCCACTATGAACTATGCTCTTCATCACTCTATTATAACTTTATAAGCGGTCAATAACATTTTCAATATGGTGTGTGTACCTGTATATACTCACACACAAATTAACTTCAAGTGTAGCATGTTTGGTAGCCCAAGTAATTGTTGATGAATAATAAATGTCATAATTGGGCACATAACATAAGTTCCCTCTTTGCTTGTATACTTTTATAATAAGCCTTTACTCCTTTAGCTTGACTCGACCCTAACCAAAATTTCTTCAGTTGAAATTTATAGTTCTAATATTTTTTTTTATTGACATCCGGTATCCTCGGTTACCCGAGACTAATCCGGAGCCTTGTGACCCTAGCCGGCAAAGGACCACAAGGAGGTAAACCAGCCTAGGTTGCCCATAGCTGACCGGCTCACAACTTGAGGAGGTCACAATAATCACTCCCATTGCAGGATTCGAACTTAAGACCTTAGGATTGCCCCCAAGACTTAAGTCCTATGAAATGACCATCCAAGCTGGGGGTTTCCCCCCTAGTTCTAATATTTATCATTTCTTTAACATGTGTCATAGTTCTAAGTTGAGATCTAGTTGAATCATTTCTGTATTTGTTGCAAGTTTTTTTGCATTTGCTACTTGACTTTGGATAGGTGTTCTTGAGCTTATGATTTTCTTGAACATACTTTAGTATGTGAAATTTTCACATAACTATGTAATTTGTGGCAGCTTTTTCTTCTGGGGAGCTCATCGGTGGAGTTTCTATCCGGTGCAGAGTATTCAAAACTGACATCGGTATGAGTTCTATTTGTTGACTATCTTTTTCCCAGGGTTCTTATTTTTGCTTAGATACTTGTTGCATTCCTCACCCTAGCCCCATCCAATCCCCAAAATTTTTAGTAAAAAGAACAACAAAAGATTTTGTTAATTGTCACTTAATTTACACAACAGGGTGATAATTTACCGAAATTCTCTCATTATGGTCGCTTTCTTATGGCAAAGACTTTTTCAGGTCAGATCTGTGATTGCTGAAGTAAGAGAAAGATTTCAGTCACATTCAATGAGGTCATACAGGGCTCGGTTCCAAAGGTAATCCCTGGTACTTGCATCAAACTCTCATCCTTTATCTGATATATTAATTTGTTTCCTTAATGTGACTGAATTCTTCCGGTCTTTGCTTTCCTCTTATAGAATCTATGAGCTCTGTATGAGTGATGAAACTTTGACATTTTTGGGGATGGAGCAAGCAAAAAAGCAATTTCCGCAGTTGCAGAAGTGGTTAGGTATTTCTGTTAATGAAGGTGTCGTTGAACTTGGGCATATTGTAGAGTCTCCCATTATCCGTGCGGCTACCTCAATAGTTCCTCTTGGTTGGAGTGGGGTTCCTAGGGACAAGAACTCTGACTCCTTGAAAGTTGACATTGCTGGCTTTGGGTTACATCTATGCACACTTGTTCAAGCTCGTGTTAATGGTCGCTGGTAAGTTTCTGTTACGGGTGTGGTCGGAGATGAAAAAAAGAAGATTGAAAAGTATGTAATTGGGAAAATAGCACAACTTCCCACCCTAAGCAAGGAAGTGTTCAGTTCCACCGAGTGCACAAGAAGAATATTTACCCAAAAGATTGATGATCTTATTAATGAAGATAAACACCTCTATTTATATCTTGGTGGCCCGTATTAGAGTAATCCTAATTCTATTACAATACTTCTATTAGGGAATATCTTTACTACTCCCTCCGTCCCAATTTGATGGTCTCATTTCTTTTGGGCACAAGTTTTAATAAAGTGGTTGAAAAGGTAAAAGTTGTGGTTGAGATTTGAGTATAATAAAGTGAAATGATATGGACCACATCTTTCTTTCCAAAAAGGGAAACAGGACCATCATTTTGGTACATCCCAAAAAGGAAATACAGGACCATCATTTTGGGACGGAGGTAGTAATAGGAAGCAAACACTAACACTTTTGGAATTTAATCCTAATAGCAATAGGAAACGAACACTAATACTTATAAAGGAGACTAATAATAATAATAATAATAATAAAAATAATAATAATAAATAGGGAAAATTCCCGAAATAGGAGTAATAACTTTTTGAAATATCAAAATAGGAGTACTATGTTTTTATTCCCAAATAGGAGTAATTACCGCCAAACATGGAGATATTGCCATGTTTAAAGCCGGGTCATGCCAAAACATGCCGTAATTACTTCTTTTTTATGGAATAAAAACATAGTAGTACTAATCTGGAATTCACAAACGTTTTTACTCATATTTAGAGAGATTTCTTTAATATTAATAATAATAATAGTAATAATAATAATAATAAATCAGTAATAATAATCAAATCGGTTTTTATACCATATTGTTACGGACACTGTTGGGAGATTAAAAGAAGATTGAAAAGTATGGTACTTGGAAAAATAAGAGAGTCTCCCGCCCTAGGCAAGGAGAAGAGTCTTTCGATTCCACCACGTACACAAGAATTATTTCTCCAAAAGATTGATAATCTTATAATGAATATAACACCTCTATTTATACTAGTTTTAAGAGTCTTGAGGATAATGATAGGCTTCTTCCTTCCGTATTAGTTTCATCCTTTTTTAGAACATATTAGTTTCATAATGATGATGGTGATAGGCTTCTTCTCTCCATATTATTTTCATCTTTTTTAGTTTCGGTAACAAGTGTCAAAGACTAACAAGCTCTGGATAGAGTGAACAATATATTCTCATGAATACACGAAGTTCATACGTTTCGAGCAAAAAAGGGAAATAAAAAACAATTAGATGATATATTGGGGCAGGTGCTAAGTTTTTCAATGATCTTCAATTTCTGGGCATTCATCTGATGCTCATAGATACTTGATCACCAAATGAGTTCTCTTAAAAGCTAATTTGATCTTTTTCACGTCCTTAGGGTCAATTGGGGATACCTCTATTTGTTGTTTGTTTTGTTTTGTTTAGCTATTTTGTTTTGTTTTCCTAATTTAGTTTGCCAATGAGCCTTCTATATTTTCCTTTGTTGTTGGTCAAAGGGTCTCCTTGCTCTAACAAGAGTTTGACGTTTGGATCCATTGGTGTATCCACTAGTTTACACTTTAGCAATACTTGTTTCCTTAAGAATGTCCAAGGGAGACTAAGTCTCACGTCCCACTAGAATGAAGAGCTTCCATCTCAGCCAACATAACTTTACGTCATTTCGGATGTGCCAATGCCTCATGTGTGGTTTTAGGAATGGAGATATGAGATAGGTGTGAAATGACAGCAAAGGGGTAAAGAGACGGTGATAACTCAAAAAGTTATATATGTGATGTGGATTCAAAGTAGAATGTGTACCTTTTCGGAGGGCAATGGGCAAATCATCCTGAGTAGGTTCAGATGCTAGAGCTGATGATGATGATGATGATGATGTTGGATCCGTGGTAGGGGATCCATGAGGCGTGGCCACAATAGGCTCAATGGAAGGAGGTCGAGGACGTCGATAGTATACTTGTAATGGACGGTCTGCCATGGGAGGACAATTTGGATGCTCATCAGATGTGGTGGAAATAGGATTATTTGGAAGGATGGGTCGGTGATATGAGGTGAAGTCCATAAATGAGGGGTATCAACTGAAGATAATAAGTAATAAAAGGAAGACTCAATAAAAGTGACACCGGCCGAAACAAAATGTTTCCTAAGTAAAGGAAAATAACAACGATAACCCTTTTAGAGTAGAATGTGTACCTTTTCGGAGGGCAATGGGCAAATCATCTTGAGTAGGTACAGATGCTAGAGCTGATGATGATGATGATGATGATGATGATGACGACGTTGGATCCGTGGTAGGGGAACCATGAGGCGTGGCCACAATAGGCGCAATGGAAGGAGGTCGAGGACGTCGATAGTATACTTGTAATGGACGGCCTGCCATGGGAGGACAATTTGGATGCTCATCAGACGTGAATATCCTAGCCGACATTTCAGATAACCTAGGTGTCGTATCTTGGACAAAACCCACACACCCAAACACATGAGGTGGTAATGGAAATAACTCACGAGTAGGAAACAAGACAAAATATGGAATTTCATTATTAAGAATTGAGAAAGGCATGCAATTTAGTAAATGATACGTAGTGAGCACAAAATCTCCCCAATACTGACTACTGAGGCAGTGTATGGGAATGTAATAACATGGTGCGGGCAGTATCTACTCAATGTCGGTTCTTGTGTTCAACAACTCCATTTTATTGAGGCGTGTGAACACAAGATTGGTGAAACATACCCCGTGATGTCATGAATTGATTAAAGAGGGCCACAAAAAATTCTTTATCATTGTCACTGCGTAAAATTTTGAAAGACTGACCAAACCGAGTCTAAATTTTGGCACAAAATTTTGAAAACTATGAAACAATTCAAAATGCTCTTTCATTAAAAATAACCATTTGTAACGGAAAAAATTATCCACAAATATAACAAAATAACGAAATCCTTAAGTTGAAGCGACTCGATAAGGATAAAGGACTCCCATACTTCTGTATGAACTAAATTAAATGGGGATGCAACACGTTTATTGACCTGCCTTGGAAAGGATTTACGAGGTTGCTTTCCAAGTTGACATGACTCACCAACATGTTTTTTTGCTTTTTCTCAACCAAAAAATGTTTCACTAGCAAGCTCTTTCATTTTTTTGCTTACTTTGAATTTTGAAATGTATCAATTAATATACAAATTCTTGAAAATGCTTTTAAATTTAAAATATATGTAACTTACTTTTTCTCGTTTTTAATTAGTTCAAAAAATTCCCAATTATAATATGACAAATCTGCTAAATTAAAATATAATCACAAAGTTATATAAAAATTACAATAATAATCAAAATAAACCTCAACCAAACAAGTCTCAAAATACAAAAAACATTTGTATATTTGCATAATGGTAAATATGTATTTTTGATTATACACACATATATTTTGGATCAAATGGGAACAAATGTTTATTATAAGAAGTTTAAATTACATTACATTAGATATCTTATTTCTCAAACATATAAAATGTCAACAGTGCAACCGCTAAAAGTGAACTATTTGAAAATAAGTGTAGTGTAGGTAATTAAAGGTGAAGATATTGCACTTTTTAATTAAACACCATTCTTAATGCATAATTTATATGTATATATAATGACTCAAAATATGCCTATAATACATATTTTAGGCATTCTATTTCTATTTCTGGAAAGGGATGACAGGCACCATAGTACCATATTCAACTTAACATGAGAAAATTTTGAGTTAGATGTATTCTTTATAATATTCCATATATACACAGCGGTTACATTTCAGAAATTTAATGCAAGTTACTGTAGATGCAATTTGATGGTTTTGATTTTTGAAAATTCACAAAATTGGCTTACCATAATAATGGCATAATTTCATAATTTTTTTATAGCTGCTATTTCATGGTTTGATTCTTGAAATTTTAATCAGGTGTTCAACCACGGTGGAATCGTTTCCTTCACAGCCAGAGTACTCCACTGATAATGGACAGTTTCCAGAATTACAGCACATGCGAATTTCAGTTGGAGCTCCGTTAAGAAGGCCACCGAAGCACCACTTGGGTGATGACATGCTATCTACAATGTTCCCTCCTATTAATTCTTCCCACATTGATTTGAAATCAATGCAGGGTGCTACTTCATCCAGTGAGGGAAATTTTATACGCACCCATGGGTTAGATCTTGTCATTTTCTGCCAAACGGATTTTGCTACCATTTCAAGAGAGGTTGACATCAGGACTCGCAGGGTGCGATTGGTTGGCTTAGAGGTACTGCTTCAAAATTAACTTATACTGACTCCAGCCCAAATTGACCGTGGCTTAACCCAATTTTTTGGTCCCAAAAATAACTTGGGAATTTAATGCATATTTTTTACTAATATTGCCTATATTAACTCTTCCTACATTAAATGCTTTTGTACTTAATATGTGTGCACTTTTCTAATACGTCAATTATATTGGGCCAGAGGGAGAGTATCTGCTAATGGAAATTATGTATAAAGTTAGCGATTGTGCATTGTAGGGCGCTGGTAAAACTTCTCTTTTGAAGGCAATTTTGAGTCAAGGAAGAAGCACTTCCAGTGACTGTACTGAGAATCTACTAGTGGATGCGGACGTTCAAGAAGGGCTAATTGGTGGCTTGTGCTACTCAGATTCATCGGGAGTTAATTTGCAGGTGGTTTACTTTTCCTCACTCATTATTTTATTCATCTCCTTGCTGCTTCATGTCACTCTTCTCAATAGTGTTTTGAAGGGTCTTTGCTTGGCCTTTCCCATATTCAGCTACAATGTAGCTTAATCTGAAGTTTTATTAGTGATTTTCAGTGTTCGGATCTCAGCTTGCTAAAAGCTCCTTTTACTGAAGTTCTATTTTATAAAGTTATTTTGGTAAAGTGAGTTGGTATCAATGAGATTTGTGGCTGTATAAATTTTTCCAAACATCCTATCAGTAAAGTGAAAATTGTTTTAATAATACAACTGGGAAGTTTTCCCCAAAGTGTATTGGAAAAATAAAATCAACCAAACAAAAAGCTTTGTTTTCCAAAAAAGACTTCCAGAGTTTTAATGACATCTGAAACGCGCTTCCTGAATTTGAAAGAACTGCTTTTCAAACGTTAAACTTTTTTGGCTTTTTAAAAGCCAAATTCTAACTGGCACTTACTTTGCCTCTAATGTGTTTCAATGTCTTTCCAATTACTCTCAACGCACAGTTTTTTAAATTAATTATCATCTCCCATGCAAATAACTTTTCTCTACTCACGGTAGTGATTTATTCAAAACAGCTCAAGTTTTTAGGATTTCCTTTGCAGAATCTGAAAATGGAGGCATCCTGTTTCAGAGATGAACTATGGAAAGGAATCCGTGATCTCAGTAAGAAGACTGATTTGATCATTCTTGTTCATAACTTATCTCACCGAATACCTAGATACAGCGAACCAACTTCATCCCACCAGCCCAAACCGGCTCTTTCTCTTTACTTAGAGGAGGCTAAATCTCTTGGAATTCCTTGGGTTCTTGCCATTACAAACAAATTCTCTGTGAGTGCAAATCAACAAAAGGCAGCCATTGATTCTGTTCTACATGCATATCAAGCATTTCCAAGCACAACTGAGGTCATCAATTCATGCCCCTATGTTATGCCTAATGCATCCGACAGTCATCAGTCTTGGAAAACAGAGGAGGGAGATCCGAGTGAACCAATGGGTGCTCATAAGCTGATATTCGCTCCTCTTAGATTTGTTACAAGACCTTTCCAGAACAAAGTTTCAGTGTTCCCAGTGGAGGGTGTATCTAATCTTTGTAATATTGTGCACCGTGTGCTTCGAAGCTATGAGGAAGCTTCTTTTCAGGTTAGATCTGCTCATTATTTTTTCTCATCATCTGTTGTGTACGGTCAGAAGGGTGGGCATCACACAGCTGGTGGATTCTCTCCCCATGTGTTTTGAAGACCTAGGGTTTGAATCCACTTCTTTGCAAAAAAAAAAAGCATGGGAAAAGGTGGCCTAGTTTATGTTATTATCACCTTCCTCTGACCGAGGGTTATTGTGTGCGAGACTTGCTCCTTTTCACTAGGGTTAAATATGCCTTTTGATTACGGAGTATAATTTAGGTTTATGGTTATATGCCTTTTTATTGTTCATCCCTGTAATTAACATAATTTCATTTTTTAGTAATGTTCTAAAAGATCGTTTAAGACTTTAGTACGATGGGATATTATTTCCTAGAGCCAGAGGCTTATATTGAAAGTGAGCATGATGAGTTTTGCTCAGTCCTAACTCCTCTAATAGTCATCAATGAGTTGATAAAAGTTGACATAGAAAGGCTAGATGGGAGCACTGTAGATGCCAGCTTTTCTTGAGGAGGTTTACTTTGAGGAATAAAATAATACTACGTAGCATAAACTGCAAGGACCTAAACAAAAAATGTTATATTTGCAGGGTTGAATAATATATTTAATTCTTTACTCTGTTTTGCCTAGTCACATGTTGATTCAATTACGCACTGTATATGCCCCCATCATCATCATCACAACATGTGATTCGTTTATGTGGTTTCTCTCTTGTGTTATTAATGTGCCATCATTCGTCTGAAGGAACTCGCGAAAGACAGACTTTTCTTGGAACTGGTTAGGGAGCGAGAAGTTGTTGCCAATGCAAACAGAGAGGCCATGACTAAGGAAAATTCTATTTCTGCTGCAACCATTGGGGCTTCTCTTGGAGCTGGTGTTGGCATTGTTTTTGCAGTTGTCATGGGAGCTGCTTCCGCTTTGAGAAAGCCTTGAAAATTTTGGCATTCTTTTTTTTTTGTTTCTTGAAATAACTTTTTTTTTTTAATTCAAATGTGAATATCTGTACAATATAGTTTTATATTTGTTAGGCAGAGAAGGGTATAATTGATTTATTATTCATTTAATTGATTTTACCATGAGTCCATGACCTTTTCAAAACAACTCCAGCCTTGCCCCTCAATCTCAATTCTCTTTACTCTTTTACGGGTATCTAATCATGCTCTCTGGGTGCCTACTTACCATAGCCATACGCATTTTGCAAACACGGCTTAGGTGCGTGGCTATTATGACCAGCACCGCTTGGGATTAACATAAGGTCTTGCTAGTTTTTAAACACCTGAAATCTCTGTTTACATGATTTTATCAGATTCACAACGTTTAATACACCAAACCACCCATGAAACTAGGGATGGACTCAGGCTGGGTAAACCGGCCCGTAACTGGCCCAGCCTGGTACTGTTATGGCCCAGTACCCCGGTCTGTGCCCGGTTTGGGCCACCCAGCCCGGTCCTGTTACGGGGCGGTTCCCGGGCCTCCAAAATAGTGAACCGGTCCGGCCCGGTTTGGGCCATTTTTTTCTTTTGGTTTTTCAAAATATTTGGGAGGTAGATGGGTTGGGCTGGGTGTTTTGGAGGGGTTTGGGGTGTGGGGGTGGGGCGGTAGGAAGTAATTAGAAAATAAAAAAAAGGTACCCGGCCCGGTACCCGTCGGGTGGCCCAGCCCAACCTGGGCCCAGTAGCTACCTGGGTTGGTTCCGGGCCTCAAGATTCCAAAAAAAGCTCGGTCGGGCTTGGCTCGAGGCCTGGCTCGGACCGGCCCGAGTCCATGCCTACATGAAGCACAAGGCGTTAATACATAGAATTTGAACATCACGAAGGGCTTGGGGTGTGGGGCTGGGTGTTTTGGAGGGGTTTGGGGTGTGGGGGTGGGGCGGTAGGAAGTAATTACAAAATAAAAAAAAGGTACCTGGCCCGGTACCCGTCGGGTGGCCCGGCCTGACCTGGCCCAGGTAGCTACCTGGGTTGGTTCCGGGCCTCAAGATTCCAAAAAAAGCCCGGTCTGGCCTGGCTCGGACTGGCCCGAGTCTATGTCTACATGAAGCACAAGGCGTTAATACATAGAATTTGAACATCATGAAGGGCTTGATTCATTGAACCTGATATTTATATGATAGTTTAAGTCCTGTTAATTTTTCCAATGTTAAGAGTAAACCAAGGCCTTTTAATTACAATATTCCTCGTCCCAGAATTGTTCCAGATTACTCTTCAAAAGATCACTTTTTATCTCATATTTTTAATCCTTTTGATCTTATATTTTATCTTTGTTGTATCCTTATCTTTATCTTATTTTCTCTTTTATTTCTTTTTTTATTAATTTTTTATTTTTTTCTTTATCTTATTTTTATTTGATTTTGAAAAGTGAATTTAGATTACTAATGACAGATGGAGGTTGAGGAATGAGGATATACTCCCTCAATTTCAATTTGTAAAATACATTTACTATTCACTTGGTCAACATAAATCACTCTCAATCTTTACTTTATATATCAAAAGTTTATGAAATTTGAATTATTTTGTGCAGATTTTATAGCAATTTTAATGTAGTTTCTGAATATGTAAATTTTATTTTCTAAAATAAATTTGAGGGTTGACATGGAACAATTTGTTTTATCGTTGGTCAAACATCGTAAACCGTAAAGTATCTTACAAATTGGAATAAAGAAAGTACCATTTTATCTTATATTTTCATTTATTTGTCTTTTTAATTTTTCAGCTCCAATTTCATGTATACACGGCTCCGCGCACCTTTTGCAATCCCCATGGCCCCCATATATATACACGCACAAAGCTATTTTATTTATACACTCATGTCAAACATATTACTTCGTATATGAAGCCACCACATTTGTAGTTGATACTTGTAAATTGTACCACCTCCCTTCCATATTGGTTGTCTTGTTTTAATTTGGCACGATTATTAATAGTGGTTGAAAAATAAAAGATGTGGTTGAGATTTGAGTAGAAGAAATTGAAATGATAAGGACCACTTATTTCTTCCCAAAAAGGAAACCTGATATAAACTCAAAAAAGAAAGTAGGACAACCAAAATGGGACAGAGGGATTAATAAATAAGACAAGCTAATTGAAATATCGAACACATCTCACTTATTGTAATAGCTTTAAAATTACACGCATCAAATTTCTATAAAATAAGGACTAAATAATTTTAAAAGAATATGTAAAAAATTAAGGTAAGAATAATGATGATCATTACTTTTACTTATGAATGAATAGTAATAATGGGATAAAGGGTGTATGTGATAGTATTTCTCTTTGAAATGTAGGGGGGGAACATATACCGTATAATTAAGAGAGAAAAGGCAAAAAATTATATGGAGCAGCAAGAACTCATGTATTTGCTCTTGAGAGTTCCATTTGAAAGAGCAATGCCAGCAAGGCTGACACGATTGGCTGATAGTTGGGGCTTATAAGAATTGGAGCACAAAAGATTAGTCCTGCTGGAAACATGGTGGTTATATATCTCCCTTGTAACAATGTCAAAAGCTGCAATCACATTTGTAGAGTCCAAGGCTGAGGTTTCTATAAAGAACATCTCTTCTTCTTCTGCAAGGCTTTTACCTTGTTCCACGCTCACTTCTCTGAGCCCCTCCAAATCACACTTGTTCCCTACCAGAATTTTTACCGCTGCTGTGTCACAGTGGCCTGTATATATGCATGCATCGGTTCGCCCGTAAAGTTTTAGTGACTGGTAAAAAAACGGAATCGCAAAAATAGAAGTGAGACGGAAAAGTTCACAAATAGTACTAAGAACGACTAAAATTTTCCGGTCTGGTCAGATCTGATAGGTGTATGTTCCATGTCTATTTTAAAGATTTCAAATTCTGGTATAGTCTTGTTTGTTCAAGTCTTATCTCAAATGGTTGGTGACTAAAACCAATCCAATTAAAAGCATCCAAATTTGCTATGGACTCATGTTTTGTCAGGAATTAGTTGAAATGATCCAACAAACTAGATAGATGTGTGAACAGAGAACTCATACATCATTGTGTTAAATGAATATCCAAAACATTGTATTACAAGCAGAGTGATCCAGCATCACTGGCATAGATTTTTCCCACAAATATATGTTTAGAGTGCAAAGAATGTAATACAATATGTAACATAAATAATCGATGTCCATAGTGTTGAGGTGCTCTGCAAGTCTGCAATATAAATTTTAGAAGGGAGAACTATCAAATAAGCCTTCGAACTTTCGTAAAAAGTGCAAATAAGTCCTTTTACAGGAGGCTTTGTCCGCCTGTCGCCATTTGGGGCGGTTTCCGGTGGAATTTTTGGATGTAATTTTTTAGCATCTTCTTCATTAAGTCGACTTTATTCATACAAAATTTAAGCTAAAAATTCAATCGAGAAGGCGGTCAAATGATTTTCTGAAATATACTGTGCTGTCTAACTGCGCAGTTATCTTCAAAAATTCATTTGACTGCCTTCCTTATTGAATGTTTAGCTGAAATTTGGTATGAGTAAACTAGACTTAATGAAAAAGATACTCAAAAAATTTCATCAAATAGTTCCACCGAAAACCGCTCCAAATGACGACAGACGGACAGAACCTCATATAAAAGAGCTTATTTGAACTTTTTATGAAAGTTCGAGGACTTATTTTATAGTTCTCCGATTTTAGAATGCTTATATAATACTGTAGTTTAAGATGCTAATAAGTTCAAACTCTCCATAACTTGATGTATTTTGAATTAGTTTTCCTTATTGTCACACATATGGACACTATATAATGTTACAGTATGTGATGTCATGACATTCTTTTTCTGAAAACAACATCAACATCACCTCACCTTTCTTAGAATGTAGGGAACCTTTCGGAGAATGTAAGAGGGAAATTTGTCATTTGAGAGAATTCCCCAAATAGGAGCAAAACATAGGCAAAGCAAAAATAGGAATAACATGTTTTGAATAGGAGTAACTTTAGTGTTTGGACAAGTATACCCCTACCCAAGCCCCAACAACTTTTAATTAAATGTTTAATTCATAATAAATTCGAAAAAAATTCAAAAAATCGTAGAAAAATAATTAAAAAATTTATAAAATATTAATAAAATAAAAAATTTAATAAAAATATTTTTTTAAATTTTTGATTTTTAAAAAAATTAAAAACTATATGGATGCCTTTCCCACCGCCTGTACTACCTCCCTGCACCACCACCTCCGGGTGGTGAAAAAAATTCCATTTTTCTTAAAAACAACTTTTTTTCTGAAAATGCCAAAAAACATGGCATATTTCTCTTTGCGAATGCCAACATTTTCATTGTTTTCTGCCATAAATATGACATTCGTAATGAACTTGGCATTTTCTTCCCTGGTGACTGGAGGTGGTGGTGCTGAGGCGGCGGTGAATTTTATTTTATTTTTTTGAGTTTTTTATTTTTTTAAAAAAAAATTATATTTTTTTTTGAAGAATAAATAAATAAATTATTATTATCGAATAAGTCATAAATTAACTAGGTTATGATTAAATAAGTCATATTTTAGAATTAACTAGGTTAGGGATATTAATGGTACAAAATTAATGTTTACTCCTATTGAAGGAAATTTTAATTTTTACTCATATTTGTGCAATTATGTTTATATTTACTCCTATATTGGGCAATTTCTATTGTTGATTTTGTCTCATAACTTATGTTTGTGAGTTATTAGTCCGGTAACTGTGTTTACTTGAAGATTGATAATGTCATACAACTAATAAAATTGCTTACATTAAAACTTTTTCATTATAATGTATTATTTCCAAAAATATTGCACCAGAAACAATAAATTGCGGTGAAAAAATATTAAGTAGACACATTTCTTAATTATAAGATAAATCATGAGTTGAGATACAAGACTAAGAATGTTTTTTTACAGAGACTAAGAATGTTTTATGTATGCAAAAACGTGTACTCATGTGTACTTAAATTTTCTCTCACTATTTTTTAATTATATACAAACTAGTTCATATAGGGATGCAATTGTAAATTGTATAAATGCATTTAATCTACATTCTGCTACGCTTTTATCAGCATTTTCTTATTAAAATTTCTTCGTAATTACAAAAATATCACCATGTTGAGTTAAATTTTGATATCAACCACTCGTTTTGTGACGACAAAGATTAAGATTAATTCTCATTTAAATTCTCATATTAGTTAAATTGATAGCAAATACTCTCTCCGTCCCGCAATGAACTTCTCACTTTCCTTTTCTGGATGTTCCAGAAACAAGTTCTCATTTCCTTAAATGACAAGTTAATCTACATCAAAACAGTGTCAAACAGTGTCGAAACAGTGCAAAACAGTAAAATTTCATTAATATGTGTGGGTCAAACTGTGAAGTTCATTATTAATTCTATCATCAATTCATCATCATTATTATTATTATTATTATAAAGACAGAAATTGTATTCAGCATATTATCATTAGTTCTATCATCAATTCATCATCATTATTATTTATTACTCCCACCACCATTTATCTATGGTTAGTTTGCAAGTCAATTATTGGAGTAACAATATTTAATTACTCCGTAGTTTAATAGAAGACTTTTCCATGTCAAACCATGAACATGAAAATACTGTTCACTGCCTTTTTACTGTATTATAGAAATTTCTTTAGGCAAAGGTAAGTCCCACTAAAACATCACTTTTCATTCATTTTCAAACTTTCTTTACAGCAAAGGCAAGCAGGACTTACTGTTCAGCTCTTGAATCCAGCGTCTGGTGCTCTCGAAAGTGTCCGTACGAGTTACGTCGTAGACAATGAGAGCTCCAGCGGCGCCTCTGTAGTAGGCCGACGTGACGGACCTGAACCGCTCCTGGCCGGCGGTGTCCCAGAGCTGGACCTTGACCACCTTGCCTCCGTCCACCTCCACCGTCTGCGTCTGGAACTCCACTCCGATGGTGGCCTTGGAGTTGCCGTCGAACTCGTCTCTGGCGAACCGCAACAGCAAGTTGGATTTTCCGACTGCAGAATCTCCGATCACGACAATCTTGAACAAATACTCCTCTCCTCCTTCCTCCCCCATTTGAAAAGCCTTCTCTTTCTTTTATCTGTTTCGAATTAATTGATGGATAAGCTATGGGTTTTAAGTATTAAGGTGTGTTTACAGAGGAGAGAAGTCAGAGTGCAGAAATGCGTGATTGGCGCATTGTTGTCAGCGGTGTAGTAGTGTTTGGGCCAATTGGGCTCATTGCAATAGCAGATCCATATGTGTGAATGAGCTGCCATTAAAAAATCTTAATTTTTCAAAAAAAATACTCCCTACCAAATTGTTGTCCTGTGTAAAAGAACCGTCATTTATATTTAAAGTAACAAATAAATTGATAAATTTATTTCTCTCTTCTCCAGACAAAGATCAATCACGCAGTTTTTATTTTATTAATTTAGATGCAACTCAACATTGATCAAGTTTTTAAAGTCAAAGGAAGTATAAGATAACCTAACTTATACTAACGAAAAGATCTTATCACTTTTATATTTCGAATGTAACTAAAGATCTTCTCATTTCTAAATATTTACATACTCTCAATTATTTTAAAAATAATAAACTATTACAATTACTTTTTTTGGATTAATACTTTATTTGTCACACTATTTCACTATCTTTCCATCACACCTCAATAATTTATACTCCCTCCGTTCCTTAATTAACTTTACATCTTCCTTTTTGGGCCGTCCCATATTAAACTTTACACTTCCTTATTTGCCTTATTTGGCAAACAAATCTACACCAAACAGTGCAAAACAGTACCAAACAGTGTCAAACAGTGTACTCTACAGTAAAATCAAATTTATTTTCTCAATATGTGTGAAGTCAAAGTGTAAACTTCATTAAGGACCGGAGTAAGTATCACTTTCATTATTCATAACTCACCTACTTTTAACTTGAGAAGATCTTTATATTATGGAGAAAGTATGTGAGAGTTGACACTGGCATTTGACAACTATGACAAATAAAGCCATCATGAGTGTCTAATTTGCCCTTGTAGGAATACACTACATTATTTCAAAATACTCAATAACCACCTAAATAAAAATAATTACCTTCATTCTTTTTAAAGGTAACCATTTAACTTTCATGTTGCCAACACATATCATTGACCGTAATAGACATTGTAAAAGTTAATATTTTGACAAAATACATTAATAAAAATTTAATAATTGTAATATTGTATAGACAATAATATGATAATACTATGAATATATTAGTAAAAAGTACTAGTCAAAATAAGGTGTATGAACGGTGCAAAAATTACAATGTTGCAACTTAAAAAATGGAGGAAATATATAATTACATGACTTGTTTTCCATAACGATAATTTTTATACAAAGCAACACTGAAATTAGTTGAATCGGCCGATTCTGTTGAAATTTATGAAGTTTTGCATAAAGTGAATGGATTGACTAATTACGTTGACTTATGTAAAAACTATACAGAGTATTTAAAATATATTTTATTAATAAAATAAAGAAAAAATAGTTCAACCAATCCAGTCAGAAAAGTAACTCTAATTTTATTTATTTTGATTATTACACAACTAATCGCGCAATATTAAAAGTTATGTGTTTGAAGAAAATGTTAGTCAATATGATTGATAAACCGAAAAATATGGTCACCAAACGGATACTCAATGAATGGTTGATATTCTATATATGAGTTACGTAAAAGTATTACTCTCAAGATAAATTAACTAAAAAATGTACTTTCAAAAAAAAGATGTTGCTCCATGTTCAATATATATATTGACCATTTGCGCTCTAGAATTTATCACAGAAAGACACTACGTATATAGCAGGAGACTTGAGGACAGGTAGTACAAAAACAAATTGCAAGAGTTATAAATGAGTCACGCCACGGCGGACTCATAACATTTTCTCTAAGGGGATTAGATAGTAACGATCCATTAACGATCCATTACGGGTCCGGAGGAAATGAAGGTACTGTACAACAAAAATAATTGGGTCTTCTTTTTAAAGTTTCAACACAAGTTAAAATAACCGAACCGAAACCGCACCTACTCAAACGGGGCCGAAAGTCGGGACTCGAACATAAATCGGTTTAATGAAGATTTTTTGAGTTATAAAATCGGTTCAAACCGAACCGAACTGATTTTTATTAAGAGGTATTTTTAATTATTTATTTTGTAGAACAAATAGGTAATATAAAGCTTGTAAGTCCTTATTTCAACAATTAGTTGATTTGGTCCAGTGGTTGATGTTTAGAAATCAGCGTGCATGCTTTTATTTTCTCCTGAGTTCGAATCCCGCATGCCTCGCTTCTTTTCCTTTTTGTTTCTACTTTCTAAAGCTTAAGATTCCCACACCGGTGAAAACGGAGGATTTACTACTCATTTGTTCCTATATATACGCTCCTCCTTTGCAGATGAGGAATACGCGAAGTGGCGAACCAGGCCTGCTTCAAAGTCTTGCCCTAGTCCAATTTTTTTGTAATTCATTTGGTTTTATATCAAAACCGAACCGAAACCACCTCTAAGTAATACTAGCATACTACTACAAAAAAAAATGGGCCCTTCCAATTTTTTGGCCCTGTGCGGCTGGACACCTTGCACACCGCTAGGGCCGGCCCTGTTTGTAACGACTCAACGGCTCATTACGGATTCCGGGCAGAAGAAAGGAGAAGAAAATGACATCAGAGGCGAGCGATGGACGTCCGCGGTGCTCCGAGCTTCTCGCCGCTGGTCGGAGCTCCTCTCGGCCGGTGGTCCGCTGTGAGAGCATGGCCAACCTCACTAATGAAGTATTTTGCCTTCTCCGGTCGATTAGGTCATCCACCAACAAATTCAGCTCCTCTAGCGATGGCGACACTCAAGCGCAAATGGAAACGGCCCATCTGAACAGCTTTGACAAAGAAGAAACACGAAGGGGCCTGGGCAAGGCGGATTGCGGGGAAAATAAAGGAGAAGAAAAGCGAGGCGGTAGATGTTCTTGAGGAGTTGGAGGTGTGAGAAAGATGGTCTATCTACTCATAGAAGCTAAGGACACGATCGGGGCTGTGGAGTGCGTATGTGCGACGTAGATGGGTTCACATTTTTGTCAATGCCAGATTTAGTCATATTTTTGTCTATGCAAACTATATGAGTAATATTGATGTCATTTATTATTTTTAAATTTGCCACCCAATATTACTTTAGTCTAATATAATTTCTAATTATGTGAATTCCGTTATCTATATAAGTTTAACTCTTACTTCATCCGTTACACAAAACTTGGTCAATTTGATTTTTTAGTCATGAAAGTACTATTTGAAATAATTTTATGGACAATGATTTTAACTATTACATTTGTGCGAAACTTATAAAATGATACTTTAATTTAGGAAGGAGAATGTAAAAATATCTGTCAAGTATAATAACAACCACTCACTAATCTTTCCATTCGAATGACAAAAATATAACTTCTAGCTTTTGATAAGACATAAATAAGATCAAATTTCGTTTGGACTAAAATGTATGAAATTGACTTGAATGCACCTAGACCTAATACCGAGTTGTTCCTTTCTGCACGCTCCATCTCCTCCCAGCACTCTGCACTCAAACAAATCTGACTCGGCTTGCACTTCCGCACCATATCCGCCTAGCGCCTCCGGCGCATCGACCATCGCCACCACCTCCCAGTCGGTATGCAACGCCGCTGCCCGCTAGTGTCTTCTAAACCGGCCATCGTCGTCACCAACCAGTTCGGTATTCATCTCCACCGCGCACCGCTCTCTTCTGAATCGATTATCGTCTACGCATCTGCAACATCACCGCCTTCTCGCATCAGTCATCACATCGTGACTCGTCAAAAAAAAAGTGTATTCACCACTACATCCAGGATTCTTATCTATTCCTTCTTCTTCATTTCTTTTGACACCAGATCTCATCTGGCGGCTAGGGTTTTTGGTTGAGGTTAGGCGGTGGTGGGTCGAGACTGTGTTGGTGGGCTAATCGGAGCTAGACCTGAGGAGGGGTGAATTGAGGCTCAGAGGTGGAGCAGGGGAGGGGGGTTGGGGCAGGATAGGGACGTGACTGGGGAACAAGGGAGGGGTTGTGGTGGGCTGGTGGGGGAGCAGGCGGTCAGCGGCGGTCTCTGGCTGTGGCGGTCTCTGGCGGCGGTTGTGGTCGGATAAGGCAGTGGTCGTTGGCTAGGGCATTGTTGGTCACTGGGCGACATAGGACATTGGTAACTGAGTCAGTGGACGGACAGACGGACTCGACGTGAGCAACGTTTGTCACTGAACGAGCGGGCGTTGGTCACTAAACGGGTGGGCATTGGTCACTGAGCAGGAGTCACCGGACGGTGGGCGGAAGTCACTATATCAATTGGTCACTGGATGAAAGTCATTGTAGGATTGGTCACTGTAACGGGTCACTGGGTTTCATAAGGGTGAGATTGTCTCTTTACTCCTTTTTAGTCACATTTCTGGAAATTAAAACAAAAGGTCACTTTTTTGTCCATTCCTTATTTTTTAGTAATATTCATGGCAATAATTTCACCTTAACTCTAACTTTGATCAGTTTCATGCACGTTCGGGGTATAGAGTGAGATGTGCGGCTTTCATCTTATGTATAGCATTTGCAGGGTTGAGGCTCTTGGGCCAACAGGCCATGCAGTTTTTTTATAGTCCTGCACCTGTAGAGTTAGAGATCAGAGAGGGAGAAATTAAAGAAAGGTCGCTCGCATCGCCGGAGACTGCACAGTCTCTTCACTCACTGGTAATCGCTTACTCCTCAAAGGGGTGTTAAAATCGCGGTCGTCTCTAGGGTTCTACTAGGTTTGTTGTTCCGGCGGCGCTGCTCGTCCGGAGGGTTTGTTACTGCTGCTAAATCGAGGGGTGAACAGTCTCTGTCAACCAAGAATGTCTGTTCTTAGTTGGAATTGCAGGGGATTTGATAATACAGCCACAGTCCAGTGCTTAGCAGACATTGTACACGTGAACACGCCTTTGATTGTTTTTCTGATGGAAATGAAGGTGAGATGTCTAAGGGCAAAGGCTCTGCTGCGAAGTAAGGGTTTCCATGAGGCGTACGGAGTGGATAGTGAAGGCTCGAGAGGAGGTTTGGTTCTGGGATGGAGCGAGGATGTAGAAGTCGAGATTGTGAAAAGCGAATCGAACTTCATTGATTGCAAAGTTAATTCGAAGGAGACCGATTGTTCATGGCGGCTGACAGGCTACT